TCAAGGCGTTAGAATGCGGGATGTACTCTAATCGCTTTCACACTGCAGGTAGATGAATACAATTTTCCCAAGGAAAAAAAAAGTATTATTTTACCTTCAAATGAAATGTATGCTATAACTAGAAATTTTGTTCTAAAAAGTGCTCCATTTTATGATTAAAATAGTTTTTTAAACTTGCACCTATATTTTGTACTAAAAAACTAACGAAGTAATCAGTGATTTAATATATTCAAACATTTCCTTCAAACAATATATGCTTTTCATTTTTAATAGTATTATTATTCTGATATGTTGAAGAGCAAATTCAATAGAGTTTATTTATTACAAGTGCCATTTAAGAAGCATTTTCGGATTCCAAAATGAGTGTTAGTACTTTTACACCTCTGGTAATATTCATTCCTGGAAAAATAGAATTTGCTCACTGCGTTTGCACTGCACAAAATTAATTTTTATTGAACAACGCCACTAAGAAAAATTTACAATGCATGAGTCAAGAAGTTTATTTATTTATTTTTTCTTTCCATGTGGCATTGAAAATAGCTGTCCCAAGAGTTGATATGCCTTTACATCAGGGATATAAGATGTTAATTTATTTAATCGCTTCATAGTTTTTGGTTCAAGAAAGAAATGCAGATGCACACCCTGGAGCTTTAGAAAATAAAATCTTTGTTGAGTTTTAATGTATTCAAAAATTTAGTTTTATCACTTAGAGATATAAGATACTACTTTTACCTTAGATAGGAAACAGTTGTTCAATGATTTATATTGCTACTCCATTTTTTCTTTGAATGCAAAATTGCATATACAGGAATGCATTGAAATTTCAAAATGTAAACATCTTTGTGGAATGGCGAAATATTTCTTCAGTTTTTTTATGATCTACATTTTCAGAATGCTAAAATCGCCTTTGAGGTATTAAACTGCTATGCGAAATTTTTAGATCTCAAGCTATTTACTGTTGCTTTCTATGGAAGTATAAAGCTGAGAATGAAGATTTGTACTGAATTAATCAATGTTAATGAAGATTCACACTGAGGATTAAATTCAGGGAACTAAAAAATAGTACACATCTGAATTCCTGTATACATGCTTAGTATTCGAATATCTTGTTGATTCCCTCCAAAACACGATTCTCACGTAAAATTAATTACTTTCTGAACACTACAAGTTACTGAGAGGTTAAGGCCGTTGAATGCTGGTAGTTAGACATAGGTTCAATGTCAGGCGATCGAGGTGGCCGCATGGTTGGTTTTCGTTGTTTACCCCATGTGAAACATGAATACGAGCCAATTTCTCCTAAAAGTTCTCCACGAAAGCATGCTTTCCTTTAGGTAGGCAGCCTTCGTGTGCTTTCCCATATTCAATTAACCTAAACTAACGTATCTAATTTCTGAACAAATTGATATAGCTATGACATTATAGGTGCAAATCATATAACAAAAGATAAATTAATAAGTTGTGAAACTTTTTTTAATTTTGAATTTGAAAATGTTCCATAATAACTGCTTTAATAAAAATTCGTATTTCATTTGTCGCACAATTAAAATTCATTTTGTCATTAAAATGATTCATAAAAGGAAGGGTTTCTAAACATAGTTATGAAATGCTCATAAGTTTAGCTTTCTTATTTCGAATATAATTTTATTTTTATTTGGCTAATTACATAAAGTGTTATCTAACTAAGTAAAAGGGGCTTTCGTGAAGGGCGTTCAAAGGAAATTGGCTGATATACCCTTTACATATGTGAGAGAACAAGAAACATTCATGCAGTCAATCCGTTCATTGTTAAAGGAATATTATTCGCTCCGCCGCTAGTTATCATTTAGAACATAACAAACCAAAATTTCACTCATGTGAGCGGTAGTTGTGGAATGCATGTCATTTAGAAATAACATTAAAATTAATTTTCATTACCTGAAATATTTATATTACTACACTGCCTTATACTAAAAATTGGAATAAAGTGATAAAAATACTTATGAAAAGAATAAAATGACAGTTTCAAATTCGAATTGAAACCAAATTAAAAAGAATTTAATTAGAAATAACTGAAAAAATTATGCAATTTTAAATACATTCAATATTTTAAAATAATTTCCAAATAATTTTAGCAGCCGAGCTTCCGAAAATAAAATTTCTTTGATACTTGACCTCCAAGCCATATTTCTACAGGAAAAAACCTTAAAACGCAAACTCATGATATTCGAAAACTGTTCTTTTTATTTTCTCAGCAAAATATTTCCTGGAAGATGCCGAATTTGCAAACAAGCCATGTGAGTTTAAAACACAGACAATTTTTCCCAATCCATTAGCGGAATCCCACAAAAGAACACACTCTCCCGGGTGTCATAAAATAGTCATCAAGCCTCAAGTGCTAGAATTCCTACCCCTGCCACCAATGGCAAACTGTCCCGAGCCCCCAGTTGCTGTATCCTTAGTATGGGACACATGTGTCCCAGCCCCCGGAAAAAGGTTAAAGTCTTAGTAAACAGCTCTTGAGGAGGAGAGCATTGTTCAGAATGGTTGTCAGCTCCAGATTATACTATGCCTCAATTGTTTATGCATGTGCTTGGGGGTCCATTTTATTGAAACTTCACCCTGTTCATCATCATCAGTCTCTGAGAAATTGTTCTGGAGCCTTCAGAATATCTCCCATCCAGAACCTGCATGCTGGTTGTTACGAATCATCACTTCAGTTAAAGCACAAATAATTATCTCTTTATCTGTATTTCAGTATATTGTCATAATCTGCTCATTCTCTTGATATCTGTTGGCTTGATTATTGTTACAACCTTTTATTTGCAACAAGACCTTTTTTCATATCTCCGTTCTTTGAAATAATTGAACTATCAGTAGAAAAGTACTGCTTGTCTGATCTGAGAGTCCATCCAGTAAAGCATCTAGAAATCTCACCTTGAGATAATTAAAAATTGAGCATCTGGATGTGTTTCAACGTCTTGATAAGGGAAAAGCTAACAAGATAATTTACATGGAACTTTTTTTTAGCACAGGCACAAATACATTATATTTCGATATATAAAGATGGTTCAAAATTGCTGGTCATGTAGAAATGTCATTTGTAACCAGAAATCAAACTGTGGTCAAACGACAGCACAATGCCTGCACTGTGTTTGGTGCTGAATTAATTGCTGTCTATTTTGCATTTAGATTCTTCTTTATGCCAGAAAAGTTTGTAATTTACACCGACCCATTTAGTGCTTTAAAAGCTTTAGAAGGTCTTTCTGACACCTGGAATCCTCTAGTAGTTGACATTATAAGAGTACACCAAAAATGAAAGATTGATGGGATATAAGATTTTTCACTGTTGGGTGGGTCTCTGGACATTTAGGCATGAAAGGAAACAAGCTGGCAGACACCATTCTGAAGTCTGCAGTTGTTTATTGAATCAGCTTGTCCCCTACAATGATATTAATATGACATTCATGTAAAGGATCATAAATAAATAGAAGATATTCTAGAAGGACCAGTTTCTGAAGGCCACTAGAAACTGCAGGAAGGAAGCATTAACCCCTTTAACAATTGGTCACTCTCGAGTCACGCACATTTACCTTTCGAAGGCCGAGAGTAAACCTGTGTGCTCAAAATGTAATAGTGTTCTGTCCATGCATTACTTTTTAATTGCTTATTCACATTTTAACAGACTTTGGTTGAAGTATTTAAGTAATAATTCCTTTCCTCTTGACAATTTGTTTCAGAACCTGAAAGAGATTTGCTTTGATGTTGTTCCTTGATATTTTGATGTATCTCATACTTTTTTGTTTTAGTTCTGCTTTGCATCTGAAATTATATGAGTTTTAGATAATTAATTTTTTGTCTCAGAATTTATCATATCCTCAATTTTACGAGGGTCATGTTTTTAAACTTGTGGTTGACTATAAACAGTGCTTGTGCCTGATTTTAAGTTGGGCAGTATCTGACATGGTTTCATCGCATATAACCTTTAATATTTTGTGCCAGAAATTCCACTACCATTACCACTGCATCAGCAATGCTTCATAAAATAATATCCAAATTTATATTGGAATATTTTACACTTTTTACAATTCGAGGTACTCGTGTTTTAAGAGTGTTATGCGTGCTGCATTCATTCATGTTAAATGTATGTCAGTGTACTTTTCTCATCATTACAGTTTTTAGTGTTAAGTATACACTTGTCTCTTAAATGAAGAAAGCTCAGAAGTTAAGAGTCACTTTCTGTAACTGAAATTGGCCAAAAGTAAATGACTTCAGGATTATTTTAATCAAAAAATCATGGTGAAAGGTGAAATTTTTCACTCGAAAATCTTTTACTGATGTTTGCTTCTGGTGTCATTTGCCACTGCGAGCATTTATATTTCTTTGTACTAATTGTGAACATTCTTCTTTCTCTGCTTCTTGGGCCACCTAGTGTACTACTAGTATAATCTTATGAGTCATCTTCAAAACCTCTACTATTGTCAGCAATTGAGCTGGGCTCATCATTGCTTGTGCTTTCAGTATTGTCTGCTAGGTAGACTTAAATCAAAATTTCTGCATTTGGAATTCAAGTGATATTTCCACTACATGATTTCAAATTCCCAAAATTTTACTTTTTATATTAGTGAAAGAAGCAATGAAATGCTTTTGGGTAAATGAAAAGCAGTTCATTTATTGCTTTTAAATATAGTACTTTGAAGTTAATCAAAAAGTAAGAGGGCTGGAAATAGTCAAAAATACATTTGGGTAGATAAATTTTGATTCTTTTATTATCAAATATTGCTTTTTTAGGGGGGAAGCTGTATTTTAATGTTTGTTTAAACCAAATTTTTCTTCTGTTAAATAGTTGAAAATCTCGTATATCGGTACATCTTGGCATGGCAGTCAGCTGCAATAATTGTTGTAATTTACTACTATACACATGCATTTAGAATACTCCTCCTTCTTAGTTTCTGTGTTTTCTTTTCATTAAGCATACATCTAACCCTTCTGAATGATTGTGCATTGCTCTACTTCTTATGCAGGTATATATGACTGTTCTAATTTTACCTTGGACTAAGCTGCGGGATAGGCTTGCTCTTCCATGTAAGTCAAAAACTCTTCTATTTTCCTTAATTAACATTTACGAAATATTTTAGTTTTTATGTCATTATATTGTATAAAAGATTGTTTCTGTTTTTTGAGATTTAATTAATTGTAGCATTTTGTATTTTTTATGTATCAAAAATGGATGTTTAAAATTGTGTAATTTTTATTGCAGCCAAACCATCCTTTTATTGGTATATATTATTCCTTGATATACTAAATATATCGCAGACAGTTGGAAGTGGACTGCTATATTATAAGGAAGAATATGGATTATGGTAATTTTTTAATTCTGTTTTCAAAAAATGTTTTGCATTATTGGGATTTGATATTAGTTAATAGGTATAACAGTTAAAGTCTGCACTAGTTAAAAATATAGTAAAAGTAAGAACAAAAAGAGTCAAAATAATTTTGTTTTTTCCCAAAATACATTACTCAGGAAACTGTAAATTTACTTGCTTGGAGAAGTGAGAGATGTATTTTGCTGAATATTCCTTTATTAAAATATGTTTAATGTCTTTTGCAAATATGGAATAGTCGAAGTTTATAATAACTACATCAAAGTAATTGTTTGATTTCTGGGTCTGTTAAAAAAATTCTCGTACCTTCTTATGCGAAGACCTAAAATTCATTTTTCTTTCAGTCTATGGCTAGACATTTCATATCCCCAGAGTATATCTCTTGTTTTGTAATATTTAATGCCATTTTTCTTTGATAGTGTAATCACTCTACATTTCAAATTTTGTTTCTCAATATTTTTTTCATGCATGGAAACTCACCAAACAATTCTCTTTCATTTACTGAAAATTAATTGATTCTGTATGTAGCTTTATTGTGTGTTGTTCTATGTCATGGGCTTCTTTTGTACAGATTGAAGAGACATGAGAATTGGATATTACCAGTGTAGAATATTTTCCTTGCACATGTCATAGAAATTCAACTGCATAGCTTTAAAACTTACAATCAAGGATGTGAAAGCACATATGCCCTTTGTTGCTCTCTTTCCTCCTTGCCTCTCTAACAGCAACATGTGATTCCAAATGGGAATGAATTAACATAAAAATGATATGTTTACTAAAATTAATTTTACGTAATCAACTTGCAAAATGAAACCAAAGGTTGATTATGTTGTTCTTCATTAACATCATCATGTAATCATCCAGTTACCTCTCTAGACCCTGAATAAAAAAAATAAAAAAAAAAAAAACCTGACTCAAATTGTTCAATAAATGAAAATGATACTCTAGTAGAGGCAAATGCAAGTGCCTCCAGATCCAACACACTAGGAGAACCAAAAGGTTCTTGGACTATGATCATATTTAGCTACCTAACAAATTCACTTTCCTTGTTAAAAATGCTGATGATATATGACTGGATTTGCCAGATATTGCTAAATCTACTACCTCCAAAAACCAAATAACAAGACTGAATAATATGGAGAAAGAGAGTAAAATTCTGCTGATTGTTATACTGGAAGTAAATACAAACTGGATGCTTTTGCCTTAGCAAGTCATTGACTTAAATATCACTAAATTGGTATGAAATAGTAAATCTATTCCTTTAACCCTTTGATGTGCGGTGGTCATGCTCTGAAACCACAAATTTTCAAATTTTTTTCTCTTCTTCTTTCCGAAAATTTCAGTGAAAATCAATTGATTACTGATCTTTTCCTCTAAATAACACAAAATGATTGCAGAATCATACATGTTTTAAGTCTTAGTACTTCAAATCGGATGCCTTTTAAAATTCATTTTCAATGAGACAAAATAACTTCCTTTTATTAATATAAACAACTTTAAATTTCAAAAGTTATTCATTGCACATCATGATTTCTATCGTGAACAATAAAAAAATTGCAATAATTAAACTGCATATATTAAAAAAAACCTATCTATATTTATGGCATTTGCTTTGTGGTTTCAGGGCACGACCACTGCACCATTAAAGCATTGTGTCACAATGCTCTAACCACTGCTCTTCACAATGGCATTTGCTTGCTTCTCAAATAGGAATAATATTTATTTTTACCCAGATATAGATAAGGAGCAGAGTTATTTTATTACTAAAACAATATATGTGCCTGCCCAGTGAAAAGGTCTTTCTTTGAAGAGATTTTTGTCTGACCTCAACACACTTGCTTCCCAAAGCAAGTATTGTGATTTTATAAATTATTTTGTGTGTTTTAAATTTAAGGTAAATATACTTTGCTATAACTTAAAAATAGAAATTCGTGCAAAAGTTTTATTTAAATTAAAATATTTCCTAAATAGTTTGGGACGAAATACAAATAAAACAAATATTGAATGGGAACAAATGATCCGTATACCAAAGCAAGCCCCCCCCTCATTAACATAAAAAACCATAAATCTCATGTGCCAGATGAAAACAAACTAAATAATTCTGGACATAAAACAAACTAAATAACTAGTGAAATTTAGAAGGCAGTATATCAAGCAGTGTACATTTTGTAGCACAAGGAAGAAACCTCATAGAACAAGATACATATGCGAAATGTAGGTCTATGCATGTCCCAAATGACAAAACATGCTTTTAACAGTGTCACAAAAAAAAAAAAAAAAAAGGTGTTCTAAATTAAAAATAAAAAATACTGTTTTTTTTTAGCCTTACTTTATTGAGTTTTTATATCGATTTATCTGAATGTCCTTAGATTTTCACTGCTATAGAAAAATAACATACATTTATTTTAAAATTTTTTTTGATGATTTACTTTGTAAAATAATGTAAAAAATTTACATATAATGCAGTTCTTATGTACATTTTTTTTAATTTGTAAATTTCATCATTTAATAGAAACGCACACGAAAAAAGGTAAATTTTCCCCCCTACTACCACAGTAATTTTCAAAGTCACAGTGCGACCACCACCCACAGAGCAATCGGCAGGAGTAGATTTTTTTTAAATTCATATGTTATTTGTCTCTAGGATCATAATATTCAATTTCTAGAGTTTTTAGTTAAAAAAAGTATAAAAGTAATATAGCTCGCGTTAAAGGGTTAATCAAAGTCTACTTTGTCGATGGTTCCTGTAGAGTTACCATTAGACTTGAAAATGAGAAAAGGATGAAAAATCTGTGAATAAAGTTATTAAAAAATAACCTATTGTTACTGGTCCAAACAAAATTGCTTTTGAATTGAAATAGGTTGGCTTTTCAAATATAAGTGTTAAACATATCACTGTGAGTGTTCAAAGGACAGATTTTAAATGTTCCTTTTTACATCATAGAATTCTGATTAAGTGAAAAAAGCCTCACTCTGATAAGTTTTTGTGCCTTAAAATTATAGTGCCCTCCTATCCCCAAAAAATGTATGATTCAGTGTCAGAAGTGGGAGCATTATCCACATGTACTTCAAAAATATCAAAGAGCTTAGAAATCTGTCTTTATTTTGAAGAGAATGGCACTGACTTACTTGTGAATTAGTATTATCACTTGTGAGCATTACTTGTGAATTACTTGTGAGCATATTTTGGTTTTATAGCATGTGTCTAAATTAGTGTAAGACAGTGTATACTGTAAAAGATAGTTTTACGTGAAAATGGATTAAAAGGTTAGCATAATATCTCAGTTTTCATAATTTTAAATCCAAAATTCTTTCCATTACATTCATGAAATAGTTTTGTGTACTTTTGAAACATTAAACTATTACAGAGGAAGTGAGTAAGGAGCCATTCTAAATGCAGAGCACAGTTGAGCCTGAATCCTTTTAAGGTGTTAAAAACACTGACATAATTTTCTCATTCTGTAAATAATAAAAATATTTCTTAACTTAGATTTTATATAAAAATACCGATTTCAAGCATGATATACATTCATCATCTATGAGAAGCAAACAATTCTGCTATTTTTTTAATGTAGTCAGAAGTCACATTAAAAGGTAATTAAAAGGTCACATTAACCCTTTGAAGGCGGTATATAAAAGAATTTAAATTGTGGTAAAATTTTGCATGTGGACCCTAAGAACACAAAATTGAAATTTTAAAAAAATCTAGAGCGAAATCCTGAATTTTTGAGAGCTGATATGTATTTTATACCGCTGCATCTCTTAAGACATTTTGTTCTAGGTGGCTGCCAATTGTTAATTTTTTATTTTTAAAATTAATTTTGCATACTTTTGATGTGCATCTATAGAGGTGGGTTATGCAATATAGTTATGCAAGTCTAAAGACAAAAACTTTTTTAATTCTGCTGGAAATTTAAAATTTTAAAAATAAAATTTATTTGTTTATGCACTTTGATGATGCAACCCAGCTAAACATACTTATGTAAAATATGAGTAAAAAGCTTTTGAAATTGATTTAAACTCAATATTATTATTTTATGAAAAAATTTAGCAACCCATGAAAACCGTATCATGCTGTAACTGAACTAGTATAATGTTAGGAGATGTAACTCAGCCTGAATTGAATTATTCTGCTTCCTGTCGATAGCTTATAAAGCACAATAAAATAATACCACACGCATTCTAGAAATAACACACTCTTTAAATTTCATTATATTTATTTGCCATAGTGAAACTCTGGCGCTAAGCTCATTTAACAACAATGCATAAAACTGAAGAATAATCTAATTGCTGCCACATGTTCTATTCAAAAGTGCAATAAATCTGAAATGATATATAAAAGCAATTAAACAAATAAAAAAGAAACAGTTTCTCACAAACGACTCAGAGCCGCGCCTGGTGTGCATGCGGCTAACCATCAACGTTCTCCTCTGTCGGAGACAGATTGACAGATAGTGCTTTTGCTAATACAAACTCAGCCGAAAAATTTAAAAAAACTGAAAACTGGGTCACCATAACTCAGCTGAAAAAGTATATTTCATTTTTTAAGCTGATAACGTGTCATGTTGTATAGGGTCATATAAGAGTTCTTTATAGAGTAACAATTATATATTAACAGGTTTAAGTTACACACGGACATTACATTTAACTTTAAGAAAATTACAGAGCAAAAGTGAAACAACCAATCAGGTTTAACACTTGGCTTTTACTGAAGTCCTTCTCTGGCTACTTACCAGAGGGCACCCTTGTTGTTACAGTTAGTTCAATAGTTTATATTAGCAGCAGAGTATATTAAAGGATTGGTTACAAGTTATTATATTTTATTTTGTAGATAATATATAAAAAAAACCATGCTTCATGCTATAATACCAAGAATCGCCCCCCTCCACACACATGATTTAGATTATCGAGGACCGTTAAGGTCCACTTTTTTATTTTTTATAAATATAGGTTTTAATATGTCTTTTTGTTCATTTCAACTTTTGGATGAATTTTGGTTTGCATCTAAGACTGGACTTAGAAATATTTTCCCTCCTTTCAATAACCATGAGTGTTTATGTGTTAATTTTTGTGTAAAATAAAGTACAATTTTTTAGGTGATTAAAAAATAACTGGTATATTTTATATACCGATGCTCTTTAAATAGTTAAGAATGAAACAAATCAACACTTTTTCAAATCATTGTGCAAAGCTCTTAAAGTATAAGACATAGAAACATTTATTATTATTGCTTCGGCCTTGATTAGCACACATATAAATTTAGGCTCAAATGCCATTTGAAGCAGCTTGGATGTGCAATCCATAGAGCTAAGGCTATGGTTGTGGCAGCCTTGTATGGTATGCAAAAGTACCTTCTACTGCAGCTAACTCTTGTTCCTTATTACACATTTTCTCCTGTTTGGAGAAATTCCTTAATTTTGAGCTAGATGCGGCAGCAGTGTTTGACATTTTATGTTTATTATTATTTATATGAACTTTAATATCTGTACGCCCTTCATGGCTTATTGAAAATTTTGGAAAATATGTATTGCAATGTACATTGGAATCTCTTACAGTTTTTTCAATAAACTGGTATTCCTTTTACAGGTTTTCATTAAATGTACACTTTATTTCTTTTTGAACCCATTCAAAAAAAATTATTGATAAAAATAAATAGTAAATTAAATTAAACTGCAATAAAATATATCCTAAATATATCCTAAAGTATATCCTTAACACGTACGTAATGCAACATCGATAATTAAAAAATATATGTCATTGCCAAATGAGAAGTGTCATTGCACCTCATAGTTTCTTATTTTTAAAAAAAACTTTTATTCTTATGCAGAATCAAAGTGATGATTGAGTTAAAGTTTTATGATTTAAAGGTGACAAAAGAATGATGATTTTAGATGGATTTATCTACAGTGAAATTTGAGCAAATGAATTATTTTTAAAGAATTACTTTTAGAATCAAAAGAATTGCTTTTAGATAATGTGTGATATTGTGTAAGGGAATGATACACATTAATGTATGTAATACACCATTGAACACGTACATAATGCACCATTGACTGCCCTGCAATTTTTGTAAGGTAAATGCTAGGTGGGAAATCCCCTGTTTATGTGGTCAGTATGGCATGCATATCCTTATGCTTGTAGTATCAATTTGCAATCTATACTACTTAAACAGATAGTATATGCATTTAAACTTTTACATAATTACACTACTGTTTTTCAGAACAAATGCTATAATTTCGGGACCAAAAAACGAGTTGTAAAAAATCGGCACAGAGACTGAAAATTTGAGACGTATGGTCAACTGTACCATAATTAACTTAACAAAGAACCATACCAGGAAGAGTTACTGCAATTCACTTGAGTGATATTTTTATAGTCTTTTAATGTCAACTTTGGAATCAGTATTCTTAAATTTAGTATATGAATTTCAAATCAGTTATTAGATAATGGTGTGCATTTATTTACTAGTGAAACGTACGTTTTTGTTTAAATGTGACGAATTTTTTATCTGAAAATTTACTTGTACGTATGTGTATTAAAATGATCATGTTGCATTGGAATGAAGTTCTGCATCTACTGCCCATATGAAATTTTACTTGTAAGCATTTTCCAAGGTTGGTAGATGTAACCTTCTTTTATAACATTTTAAAGTATTTCTTGTTATTGAAAAGTTCTTTATAATTCTATTACAGTAATATGTTGTCATAATATTCCTTTATTTTGCAGTGTTGTTGATGTTACAGCATATGTATATTTCACTATATTCACCCCTTTGGTGTATAGGACATTCCTTGCAGATTTTTTCAGGTATTTTTTTCTTTTCTTTAAAACTAGGAAGACATATACAGTACAAAGTCCGTAATCCGGATCTACATCCTGACTGAAAGCCACAAACTTTTTCCTTTGTATGCTTTGCATGCGCGGTATAGCTAGGCTAATAAGTCTCTTTATTTCATAAATTATGATTTCATATTTTGAATTGTATAGTTTTTGCATGCCATCTTACTAGATTTAAATTGATGATCTATAATCTGGAATCGCCGAAGTCCCGACGAGTCCGGATTACAGACTTTCTACTGTATTTTGTTTTGTTGATAGCAATGCAGTATTTTCAGTTGTGATAACAACATTCCTTTTTAAAAATGACGTTATGTAAAAGGATTGGAAATTATTTTTTATTTATACTAGGTTTATACAGTTAAATATTTTTTCCAAGTTTAATATATCATTCATAAAAATATGCCTGTCATGTTTGTATAATTTGGTTGTTGAGATTAAAACCTTATTTAATGAAATAGAAGTCTTACCCATTCTTGTGAAATTGTTTATATTGTTACGGATTTTGTATTTATTTAGCTATTTTTAGAAGAATTTGTAATTAAAATTGTTTTATGTCCACGTGCAATGCAGCACGAAACTTATTTGAAGAGAAAGCTGTGCTGGAAAAGTTAAAATACAAGAGCAGGCACATTTAATGAATAGATATCTCATAATGGCTTTTGCTTTCCAGAAAACTCTCAAAATTAAAAAAATTACCAGAATGTTCCCATGCATGATTAGAAAGCTTATAAAAGTTTATTAATCCAGTTGTTTTCTTAGTGCTGTTATTGATTGTAGCGAATTCATTGTGAGATCGGATTAGGTTTCTCAGTGTTTTCAGTGTCTCAGTGTTCCTTATGCTGCAATGCATGTTACACCTATTGCAAGTGCTGCAAATGCAGGTCCTTGCTGATAGTGTGCCTCTGGTGGTAGCTTGTAATGTACCACTTGGCAACTAGGCCATCAGACACAGAGCATGAGCTTGTGTGGGTTCAGAGGTGGTCTTGAGGAGGGAGGAATAGAGTCACATGGTGACAGTCAATGTCTTTTATGCTTGGAAATGTCATACTGGGCCTTTTTTTCATTACTCATAAGCATTTAATCAAATACAGATATGTTGAGTGCCAAGACAGAAATGACAAAAAGTTGTTCCACAGTTTCCTTGTTGGCCAACCTTGCTCTATCTTTAGAACCAATGCCTGGCAGTTCATTCATTCATGGCATCCTTCCCAAATGCCGGATGCATTTGACCACTTGATGCAGCTGTTAATGTGCCACTTCAAAGTCATACAGCAACCAACAATGAATGAATGGCTTTGGTATCTTCAATTCTCTTTGACAATGGACGAGCTGCAGTTGCTGGATGTGCGCATCATGCCTGTGTTAGGGTAGTTGGTAGTTATACTAGCATTCCATCACCTCCCAGTGCATGAATCACTTTGTGTCCTTTATGGGAATGCTTCATCAATAAAGGTGGGCACTTTTTTTTTAATTACTTTGTGTAATAATTGCATGCTGTATCTAGGAAACCAGGTATCCAGAATGAACTAAAATCTGGACCTCTGGATCACCAGCAATTCCCCCCCCCTTTTTTTTTTTTTTTTGAAATTTTTTTGTATGTTTTGTGATGTGCATTTAATATTTTTTCACAGTAAAATGTGGAGAATCCCGGCTCTTAATTTCACTTCAGCACTAAAAAAGTACCTCCATACTGAAGAAACAGTCCTTCACTAGCATAAATCTGTATGATCAATAACTTCCCTCAATAGCCACCTTTTTGCCTGGCATGCAATACATCTCTAACTGAAACACTTTACATTAAAACCTCATTAATTTTACACCTGTTGAATAGTTTATATCCATGATGCCAACCTGCCAAATCATTATTTATTATTTGCTTTCATCACCACATGACAGTCGATACACAGCAGCCTGAGAAATGACTCATACAGCAATGTCTAAACATTAAAAAAAATATTAGTAATCGAACACCAAAGGACATGGTAACCTTTGATGGTGACATTATGCTTGGCGATAGTACAAGTTTAATGAACTCACTGATAATTTGATCAAACACACAGAATGCTTTGATCACTTTGGTCACACTGGCTTCCTCACTTTATGTTGTGGAAACATGAAGTGACTAGTAAATGAAGTGAGTCAATCCACAAGACTGAAGGAAGATAATTGTCTTCATGAGTATATTTTTATTCATGACATTGGCACAAAATGTAAATAATTCTTACATATTAAAACATTGGCAGACATGTTGCCCTTCTCACTACGCACAGCTTTCCTCAAGTCCTACTCTAATTTAACTGTTCTTTTGGTGGAGTTTTATGTCCACCATTTGACAAAACTTCTCTTTTTCTTGGCACGTTATTAATTCTTACCCATCTATCCTTGGGAAGTGTTTGTCTCCTCAGAAACCATACACAGAATCAAATCTTGAACTTCCCCCGCTTGTACTCTTGCACACACTTACAAAAATCCTGCCTAGAATACCATTTTACTGGAGTATGCAAGATCACATATATATAATCCATTGTGTATTCAACACTTACATGATAACATGATAAAATTCAGAAATTCAAAAAACAACATTTAATATGAACACACAGAATAGTCAGTAGCATTTAGTTACCAAGGTAATCGTTCATAAATCTCTGACAGTAATTCCCAAGAATTATAAAGGCGTATCCATATATAACTTTTTTTGTATACAGTAATAATAAAAATAATGTGAGGCTACCCAATCACCGAGTCATTGTTGGGTAATCTGGATAAAGCATTTGCATTTCCATGATGTTGTATTTTTGTTAAGAAATCTGTTCAGATTACTAACCACAATACTTCTTTCAGCGCACTTGAAGGTGCAACATATTCAGGCTCAGTGGTAAAGGTAGAAACAATTAATTGCTTTTGACTACACCAAATTACTGGACCATTTTTAAGTTCAAATGCATAACCAGAAGTTGGGTTTTCTTGTGGCCTCATTATTAGCAAAATCAGCATCTGTGTGTTCAACAAGATGGCAAGTATCATTAGTTACTAGAGAATAATTAATGTCACAGTTTGCTCTAGCTGAGATTGTAGGTCGTATCAGCATCATTGCCCCACTGTTCCCCCCATAAATACTGTTCATTTTTTTCTTTTTACGGTTTTCTCTATTTCGCTTCTAAATGCACTGTAATTTATTGTAATTCTTTCTGGAACTCCAGTTTTCCCCTTGTTTTGGAATGGCATTCTCAAGAATAATGTTCTTTCTTATGGCAGATATAACAACATTTAATATGAACACACAGAATATATTTATATTGCACTTTCTTTGTGTGTTCATTTAATATGAACACACAAAGAAGGTGCAGACTTCATCGATGAGTCTTGCAGTCAGATTTTAAAAGTTTTCTTTACTATCATCGGTAGGTAATCAGGCTTGCCTGAAATTTCTATATTTTAGTGTTAAATGTTCCAAAAATTTTCTTAATTACAGTTACATCACTTTACCAAAATCTTTGATTTGATGATCACGATTTTCAGTTTTGGCTATGTACTGCACTACTGTTTCATTGCGTTCCATTTTCAACTGACAAAATTCATCAAGCAGGAACAATTCTCAATAAGTCTAACTTGTGAAAGTTCATTAAGATATTGTAAACATTGCAATTGTGTCGCCTTTTCCCCATTTCGCTATTGCCACTTCAGCATTTTCTGGCTTAACCTTAATTTTGTTTGCGAGAAAAAATACTACTTTTGTCTTGAGACCACAAGTCTTTTGAAATTTCCATTGTGTCCAGGAAATTTTGCCATTGAATTCATTTATAGATGACACATATACTGGCCTTGCTAAATTGAGAATACATTGGATTGACTTATGTTTGTAAATTGTTACTTTGCACTGAACTGGTCCCAAACCTGTTCATATTACTGGTTTAAATTTATTTGAAGTGGAATAAAAGTAGCAAAAAAAGAATAGGTGATGTATGCCACTGAAATACATTCATAGAATGTATACACAAACTACAATAATGTTGCTCAAAAGTATTATGAAAGTGTGACGATGGAATTTTGCATTTGATAAAATCTTTGCACTGTACCTTTGTAAAGTGAATGGCCAACACAGGAGCTTTGCTGCATAGGGTTGAATTTGCATTACATGTGTAAGAGGATTATGGCCAGATACAACCTGGACTTCAGCTTCCAAAATTCATGTATCAAGCTCCTGAAGAACTGCCAAAACACTGTAGGCATCTGTCTCAGTTATTAGACAGACAATATGCTACAACAAGGTGTTAGTTTTCTGCTGAAAAATGCTACAGGGTCTCCCTTCCCTTGATCATCTGTTTGAGACAGACAAGTACCAATTGCTGTAACCGACGTGTCATTATGTAATTGGAAAGGCTAATTTGCTACTGGATTGAATAATAGTGGCATATCAGAAAGATGTTGCTTTAATTTCTGAAAAACCGTTTCTTCTTCATTGCCACATGGGATGTTAATGGACGCTGTCTTCAAGTTTGTCAAAGGTAACTTTAAAGTGGAAAAATTTGGAATGTAATCATAGTAGTAGCTTGCAAGTCCAAAAATGTCACATACTTCCTTTTTAGTAGTTGGTCTATTCATCTTCTTCATAAGTTCTATTTTCTGTGTGTTCAATGAATGCTTTCCAGAACCTATAATTTGGCAAAAAAATTTCACTTCCCTATTTCTAAAATCTCATATTTCTAGGTTTACTGTTAGGCCTACTCTTCATAAGGTTTTGAAAACCTCTTTTAAGTCCTGTAAGTGCATCCTTCCATCTTCAGAAAAAATTGCCAATTGGTGAGTGTTGCTTACCTTGTAAGCACGTAAATGTTTTTTCAATGATTTTGCCCTCAGAGAATTGAAAGATGTAGTTTCATAATCAGTCCTGCTGTGATTAAGAAGATTTATAAAGTTACGGATTTCTCATTTCTTAACATCAGAAAGAAATTCTCAACATAACTATC